GATCCCGGGGACATCCCGGGCACCAAAGCCCTGCTGGAAGGATCTCAGAATCCCAGGATTACTGAGGTTGGAAAAGCCCTCCAGGATCACCAATTCCACCCTGTGCCCCATCCCCACCTTGTCCCTCAGTGCCACACATCCAGTCCTTCCCTGGACACCTCCAGGGCTGGGCACTCCAAGCCTCCCTGGGCAGCCCCTGCCAAGGCCTCACCACCCTCTCCATGGGGAAATTCCTCCTGATTTCCAACCTGACCCTCCCCTGGCACAGCTGGAGGCCGTTTTTCCCCTTGTCCTGTTGTTCCCTGGGAGCAGAGCCAGACCCCCCCATTGCCACAACCTCCAAGAGGGTCCCCCCTGAGCCTCTTTTTCCTCCAGGATAAAGAGGGAAATTCTCCCACCAAATATTCCCACCTCCAGGGCACCCCTGCTGGAAAAACAGCTGGAAAAGCAGCACATCCTCCTCCCTCACCAGCCTGGAATTCCCCTCTGAACATCCCACCAGGGGTGGGAAACCCTCGCCGGGGACACGACGGCGACGGGAGGACGCGGGATGAGGAACCTCGGGATGAGGAACCTCGGGATGAGGAGCCCTGGGATGAGGAGCCCTGGGATGAGCCCCCCTGGGACAAACTCTGGATTAGGGGCTTGGGATGAGCCCCATCCCTACCCTCGGTGAACTTGATGATGTTCTCCAGCAGCAGAGGGTACTTGGTGAGCCGCTGCATCTCCGAGATGATCAGGTCCTTGAGCTGCAGCCGCCGGCACTGCGGGTTGCTCTCGGCCTCCTGGGATTGGGAGGGGAGAGGAGAGGCTGGGACACATCCCAAAGTGGGATGCTTTCCCAAGGGGTGGGAATTCCCTGGGGAAGAGGAGGGCCAGACCTGCATGAAGATCTGGAAGCGGGTCTCCTTGCGCTGCTTGGTCTTGATGAGCTCCAGGGCGATGGACTGGTAGGAGCAGAAGGTGGCGGCGACCTGCTGGATCTCCTCCTTGGCAGGGCCGTCAAACTGGGAATTGGGGGGAAAACCAGGATCAGGGACCCCCCAGAACTCGGCCCCGGGGCTCCCCAAGCTCCTCCACCCCCTTTAGAGAGGGGACAACCGGCCCTTGTTCCCCCTCCTCACCCGGGACAACATGAGATCCCCGATTTCCTTGATGATTGGTCCTTCCTCCCGCAGCTTCTTCATGGATTCCGAGAGGGAATCTGGGGAGGATTCGGGATCAGGTGACACC